GAATATACCTATGCAAGGTAAAGTTTGGAGTAAAGCGAGGGAAATAAGATCTGGAAAATCCACCAATCCCTTTCCTTATCTTGTACACCATAAATGAAGAAATATCATTTGGTGGTATCCCAGAACAATGGCCACAGAGGCAGATAGAACAAATGTAATGTTAGTATAGTTTTCTGATGCTTTGGAAACTAGGTTGACCCCTTTTTTGTGGGTCAACCTATTTCCCAGAGACCAGAAGGCAAGACAAGAAGAAATGGATGGAAACTAATCAAGGTGAGAAGCAGTCTAGAATTAAGGAAAAATTTTGAATGAAGAGATATTTGGTTCTATTTTAAAAAATATTTCCCTATAGTGAAGTTCACAGATGATACAACAGTAGTGGACCTTATTTGTGATGACAATGAGGGTGCTTACCGCAAGGAGGTTGAGGGTTTGGTGAAGTGGTGTAAGGAAAACAGCCTAGTTTTAAATACTGGAAAAACCAAAGAGATCATTATTGATTTCAGCAAAGGCAGGCACAGCCACACTTCTCTGTGCATTAATGATTCACCCGTGGAGATGATTACCAGCATCAAATTCCTGGGTGTGCAGTTAACAAGTAGGCTGACTTGGTCGCTCAACAGCGAGACACTGGTGAAGCAGGTACTGCAGCGCCTGCATTTTCTGCTTCGCATGAGAAAAGCACATCTTCCTTCCCCTATCCTTACCACTTTCTACAGAGGGATGATTGAGAGCATCCTGTCATACAGCATCACAGTCTGATTTAGACATCACTGCTTCAGATAGGAAGGTGTTGCAGAAGTGGTGAAGATGGCTGAAAAGATTATTGGCAGTTTCCTCTCTTCCATCCAGGACATAGCATATAAGTGTTGCTTGACAGGGTCCAGAATGTTGTCTGGGACACTACCCATCCTCTTCATGACCTGTTTTCCTTGTTACCTTCAGGGAGGAGACTCTGTGGTATCCGAAGCAGAACATTCAGATTCAGTCACAGTTTTGTTCCATACAATATTAACCTTGTGAACTCTAAAGCTTCCTCCTTCCATTATGTATTCAAGATGGACAGTGATTAATATTTATATGTTACTTATATGTAAGGATGTAGGTCTATACATATGTTGTTTATAGTATGTTTAAATGTGTGTTATGTGTGTGTACACTTTGAGAGCAAGCAAGTAAATTTCATTTTTAATACGTGCCATTTGTGCCCACAATAAAAAATGACAATAAAGGTTATCTATCTATCTATCTATCTATCTATCTATCTATCTATCTATCTATCTATTTGTATAATATACTTTTAAATAACATTATTAGAAAAAATATATTTAATCATTTAGTAATAATAATTACACTATCAAAAATATCTCTCTATTCCCAGGTCCTTGGGAAGGACTTAATAGTTGGATAAAAATGCCAAATCCAGTCTAGATGTCTGGCTGACCGTGGAACTGTAACAATAATAACCATTCTAGCGCAGTCACTTCTTCAGCAAGCAGAGCCTACAGCTACTGAATCTTCTCAGCAAGAACACATTACACACAATGTTTTGAACATTAAATAGCAGCTGCCAGACAAAGACTGTTGTGTCTAGGCTTGTGAGCTTCCTGAATGCTATGTATGGATTTGTGTATGGATTTAAATGATTTATGATGCCATGTATCTTATAGTAATAACTCTGAGTCATGCACAAAAATTAAAACCATAACAACAATTCATACTCAAGATGCCCTGATTAAACAAGAAGTTCACAAACAAAACCACAACTCTAATATCAACAGACTTTGCTTAGCTGCCTGGCCCAAAGCCTTGAGGAGATTTTCACAGTATTACAAAAGATCAGCAAGGTCAAGGCCATCCAGATCTGGAGGATGCCGTTCTACAGGTACAGATATAGAAAAGACACAACTCTGGTTGGCCTTGGTGTGACATACAATGCTGGAATAGATGGACCATGGCTTGACACTGCAGGGCTCTTAATGTTCTTAATATGATCTCTATGTAATCAGTCAAGACCATCTGCTTGGAAAACACGTGCAGAAACAGGATGTCTTGGTTTTTGACATGGAGGTGGGTTTACCCTCTCATGTCATACACTTTCACTCCTGCAACTTTATTTTGGCTAGAAGTAGTGGACTAAATCTATTTAGCTACTCTAGTGCATGGCAAGAAATAAATGAGTATGTTTTCCAAACATTACTGCCTGCCAGATTTTGTTAGTAACTTGTCCTCCAAACAGTAAATAATGTGTTCTTCGTAAGCACTGAAATTTGTCTAGCACTATCAATTCCCAGCATATTTTATTTTTTTTAGGACTTCCTTAGTAGGAGAGAAAAAAACACAAAGTTTTGTTATAGTAGATTGGTTTTACTGTGTTAAAAATTAAAGAAATGTCATTCTTCATGAAAATTTCATGTGCTAATTTTTCAGTGCAAAAATAACTATGTATGTTTCACACATTATATTATTTCAGCACTAGATTTTAAAATGGTGACATTTTAATCTTGCCAAAGAAAGTGTCACAACAACAGCTGCTGAGGCACATTTGAGAAAATTAGGCCATAAGCACAGTTCCTAATGGAATAGGCAACATATGTTATCAGACAAACCTGCACTCATATTCTAAGGGCTGTAATTAATAATAAATAAAATAAATAAATAAGCAAGGAAGGAAGCAATATTTCCAAAGTTCTTATAGTTGAAATTCATGAGGCTGCTAATGAATTGGAGCTTTTCTTAAAAGTAAGATTGTTGTATTCAAGAAAATCACACAGAAGCATGACTACATTAAAAAAAACACCTTAAATTTCTCACTAATCTAGTTGAGAAAGTACTAAATATAGTAAACAAATTCATAAACATAAGGAAGTATTTGTAAAATCAGATAATTGGTAGAATCTCCAGCTAGAATGGAAGAAGGTATTAACAGGGGGCTGTACTTAAGAGTCCCTGCACTGTAGAAAGCAGCCAGGCCTGACCACCCTCAAAATCCATAAAGCCTTATATTCCAAGGGAATGGATTAGTCTGACAAGATTCTTGTAACCTAGATGGCTAGCATTAAAATGTCTGCTTGAGACTATTTCCAAGTGGTTCTGATTGCTTGCACTTGACAGATAATCTTAATTAAAAATAGTCGCAGAATTCTCCTGAACAATGTGGGCATTAGCATTGACATATCACCTTATAGGGAAGATGGATAGCATACAAAATTAAACAAACAAGCAAACAAACAACCAATAAAATATTTAAAATGGTACTTCCCAATCCGAACCAATACTTCTATAGCCTCCTTCTGTTCAGGAGAGTCCACTGATATTCCAGAGAAACTCTAGGTAAGATTGAGAGAAGGATAATTGTTTGACCATTAGAAGTACTTGAATCTAAAACAATAGGTGGGCTTCATGAAAAATCAACCTCAAGTTATACTGAGTCCAACATGTGTGGCGGAATAATTTTGGCTGCATTTGATAGTAGGAAATTTTTCCCCAATTATCTTGAAATGGGGAAGTGAATGATGACTCTTGTAATGAAATGATAATGATCTAATCAAAAACAATTTCGAAATTTCAATGATTGCATTAGTATCCCAAAGAAGCTTTTTCAGGAGGCAACTGGACTTTCTTGTTTTTTCTTTGAAGACATTTCGCTTCTCATCCAAGAAGCTTCTTCAGCTGACCCTTTTGCTGTTTATTCAAAAAAAAGATTTTTTAAAAGTCCTTAGTTGTTAGAGATTGGCCAAAGCAGGGAGAAGAGTTAAACAGGGACTTAGTCTGGAATCTCAATGTGGGCACAAGACAGCAAAGTCTGGTCCCTCTTAAATGCCATTGAACCTTTTTAAATTTTACTTAGGTGCAAACCATCCATCTGAGAAGATTCCTGTATAGGCACGAGCAATAAAACAGCTAATTGAACTCTTCTCATATGGATCTGGTTGTTTGCACCTGGTATTAATCTTGTATTTCAAATTTTTTTCACTAAGGATTGAAACAAACTCATCCAGTGCCATGAAAAAAAAAACATTGTCATTCTGAAGGTTCTTAATAGCTGAAACGCAATTAATAAGCAATTTCCAAATATGAGTTAACAAACCAAGTCAGGTGTCCATAAAGACACCAATCACAATTTGGGCAAAGATGGTGTTCCCTTGTTTCCCTGACTCTAAACCTACCAGAGACCATTGTCTTGTGGTCTCCTCATGAGGAACAATTGTATGAGGCACTTGTGAGTGATCCCTACTCCTTTCCTATCTGGAGAGGAATCCTGAAGGGCCAGTCCACTCACTGATCTTCATTCAGCCACATTTGTGGGTTCTCTCTCTCTCTCTCTCTCTCTCTCCCTCCCTCCCTCCCTCCCTCTCTCTCTCTCTCTCTCCCTCCCTCCCTCTCTCTCTCTCTCTCTTCTCTGCAAAATCAACCACATTAACTGTTTTAAGATGGATGCTAAGACTGTCTAGTAATGCATAATAAATAATTGGTTTAATGTAATAAAAAAAACAACTGGTAATTCATACTTTGTATAAATGAATTAGAGGCGGGAACCTTGTTTTTAAATATAAATGTCAAGCCATCTTAATGTTTCAGTTTCTGCTTATGTACACTTTCTTTCCTACTATCTAGTTACTAGGATACTGTTCTATGACAACCTCTTCATTAAAAAACAAGTGGGAGTTGAGAAAGGTCAAGAAGTCCTTTTCAATAAAAGCAGAGGGAATAAGGGACTGGCCTTGCCTGAATGAGTCCTTTTTCCTGCCGCTGCTTAGAGGGAGGGAGGGAGGGAGGGAGGGAGGGAGAGAAAATTACTATAAACATATTCCACAGGTACATCTACTGTATAATATTTCCCAGAAACATATGAACAATCCGGAGTGTGGACACTGAAATGTAAAAGTGGGGGAGGGAGGAGGGCACTTGCACTCAGCAATGCTTAGTTTCTAGTTGATGTCAGGATGGAGAAAAAAATCAACATTTTTGCTCCGTGAGTGTGGAACAAGGCTACAAAAGCAGCTGAAGGCAGGAAAGGCTATTTATTCAGCCTTAAAGTCCATGGGCACCATACAGATATTAGTTCAAATACAGAAATGCTGTAACTGTCCTATGACATGACTGAGGTGGCAAATTACAGGCATTTTTTCTGGGTGAGGTTCTGGCAGGTGGAGTGGGAGGAATGTTTATAGCAGGGATGGTCAGGAATGGCCAGATTGCACAGGTAACTGAGATCCATTCCTTAGGAGGGGCACACCATTAATCCCCAGTGACTTGCATTTTATATTGCGCTGGCTGCCAACGTCTTCACACATCTAGCTTGTAAGTATCTTTTACTCATTTTGCATTTTTCCAGTGTTTAAATGTGCAGACTGAACTCAGGAACAAAGGGAAAATAATGGAAAGCGGTAACAATGGCAAGGATATAGCTGGGTCATGGCACAGGGGCTTAATATAAGTATCTTATCCAAGGTCAGAATGATATGGCTGCTAATAAGAGCAGTTTTTTTTTATTATCTTCATTAGAGGTTATCTTAAATCTGCAAACATCTTCTGTTCTATTAAAACTCTGTTGATCCCAACAGTTAAAGAGCTGAATATGCAAACTGCGTTTTATCTTGCATAATTAACAGGCTAGTATCAGTTCTGCATAAGTCAGCCTTATGGGGCTTAATAGGAATAAACTTGGAGAGATTTGAATAGAACAAAATCCTTTTAATTGGAACCAGAGTTACAGAGAATGCAACTGTTTAACAATATGAAATACAGCTAAAATAAGGTATAAGTAGGCAATCTGAGGTCTAAAATGTCTTTTAATGCAGTCTTCAATCATAATTGTGAAAAAGTGAGTCAGTTAGAGCTGTGGATTTTGTACAGCTTCTAATTACTACTACTGGACCTCATTACAAGGGAAGAGTTAAATGCCAAATGTTTTCACGTGTTCAAAAATAAAGTTTTAGGCAGAAAATCTGAGATAAAATTGCCACCAGAATAAAAAACTGGTGTGTTCAGATGAGATCTCTTTTTCATAAAAGGTAGCCGAGTTGATGCTAAGGTTATGAGAAGATGATTCTATGCAAACATGTGATATATGTGATACAATGATTAAGGGATTGCACCAGGAATAGAAGAATATGGGTTCAATTCCACCATGAGCCATGGAAGCTCACTGGGGGATTTTTCAGCCAGTCAGCAGCACACATGGGGAAGAATGGACTAAAAATGGTGATTGCAGCTATGCAGTAAAATGGTCAGTGTCACATAAAGTGATGGGGCTTTGACTGCACAATCACAATTGACATCTTGATTTTTTTTTTTTTTTTTACTATACCCTCTCTCCATGAAGATGCTGCTGGAGCCCATTACCTTTGGTCAGCTCAACTAATCTCATAAGGTTGTTGATGTAAGGAAAACTGGTTTAGTCTGTTGTACTGCATGATAAAAGAAACTATCTTAGGCAAGACTCAGTCAAGAACTGATTTATCCAAGACTGAATATGAAATGAATGAATCTCATTTGGTGTCTGTGAGTCTCAAGTCTTTGCTTTAGAGGACAGATCTAAGCAATCAGCTTCTGCTGTAATGTCATGAACTATTTATTTATTAAAATCTTTTCTGATTTTTTTTAATTTTAAAATCTTCTAGTTGTTTACAGTGCTATATAGTGAGATTTGTGTGAATATGGTTTGCATAGTCAAGGATGATTTCTGTATGAGGTTGAACTGAGGCTCAGTATACAATAATAAATAGGCATGCTAGCATGGAAATATCACCATCAAGAGCCGAGGTGGCGCAGCAGTTAGAGTGCAGTACTGCAGGCCACTTTAGCTGACTGTGTTCAGCAGGTCAGCGGTTCAAATCTCACCGGCTCAAGGTTGACTCAGCCTTCCATCCTTCCAGGGTAGATAAAATGAGGACCCAGATTGTTGGGGGCAATGTAAATATATTATATATACATTGCTTACTGGTGTACACCGCTTAGAGAGTGCTTGAACCTAAAGCGGTATATAAGTCTCATAAATAAATAAATAAATAAATAAATAAACTTGTAGGAAAAAGTCCTGCGTAAACTGCCTGGAACTCTTAAGGCTATCATTGTAACAAGTTTTTTTTTAAGGCTCTTGGAGAAGGTAAAACCTATTCTGGATTCAGGTAAACTGTTTAAGAATCATTTGAAGGGGAAAGAAAAGAGCAGCAATTGTGGGAATTAATTTATTTACATTTAATTGGCAACAGTATAGTTGTTTTTTCAACAATTGCTTTCAACAAGGGGGTTACAGATACAGTTATACAACTTCTTCCTTAAATTCTAGCAGTAACAATGAAATATTAAGATAAATTAAAATAACTTAATCATATCTTAAGCACTTGTGTTGCTGTCACTTTTCTAATCTACATGCCTAAGAGATAAAAGAGAAACAAATACTGAAGTAGAAAAGTTACACACCTTTAAATATAATATTGGCTAAGGCGTAATATCAGTTTTGCAGAAACATTTATAGCATGTCTCTACATTGTTGAGGTTTTTTTTTCTTTTTATATTGGCTTGCCTGTGCAACCATCTTTTAACCTTTCAAGACTGCATTTATTAAAGAGTATCCTTTTTATAATAATTTACCTAGGGCAAGGATTATAACACTAAGAATCCTCCAGCTTTGGCATATCTCTGCCAATTAATTGGTGACTTGTTATATTATCACAGAAGGCATGTTGTGTATGCTACTTGGCTTTAATAAATGGGCTGCATATATTGGAAGGATTGAGACTCAAACAGAGAATGAAAGTGGCTTCTTCTGCTGTTCTGTTCATATAATACTTAGCAACATACCCACTGGAGATTTAGAAAGGTGATGGAATTAAGCAGCAGACCAGCACAAGGTCAAAACAGGTGGCTTCAGAGAAAATATAGCCAAGAAAGGGCAAGTGCAGAATTAGTACAATCTTTGCCCTAACAAAAGAAAAATAGTGATAAAACAAAACTAAATTCTTAATTACTGATTCCACAAGATGGCAGTATTTATTGGTTTGGTGATTCATTAGAACAAATGCAAACAATGTTTCAGCTAAGGAAGTATGGGTATATATATTCTGTATATGGGGAGAAAAAAAAATCAAGAAACTTTCTCCGGTTTGTGTGTGTGTGTGTGTGTGTGATAAGATTTATAAGAAATTGTGGTCCATTGGTTAATAGGAATTAACCACATATAGAAAGCCTTGGTTTTTCCCCTGGTTTAGATAAACAATATGAGATGTAGAACTACAAATGGATTGAAGAGTTTTAATTAATATTAAAATTAATAATAAAAGCCATAGATCTTTTAAGTAAGATTATGTATATTTGTACAGGCATTAGGTCAGAACAAACATCTATTAACTTGTATTTTAAAACAACAAACATAGCTGAGAGTGAGGGCTCTTCTACTTTGGCACCACCAGCTCTACCACAGCAGAGGGTCCAAATGGCTAGCTTCAGATGGCTAGCACTCCCTCCTGACTATCTAGGCTAGGAACGAAGACAATGGGCACCTTGCCCCTATTTCTTCCTGCTCATTCACTTGCTGCACAAGTTTCCTGAAATAATGGAGGAAAAGGAAAGCAAGCTTAGCCTTGAGGAGAATAAGTAGTAAAGCCAGTCCTCTGAGTTGGTGGAGAAAGAGATGGAAAATGCTGAGGCCCCATGGCACTGTGATTGTTAGAGAGAATGCAAATCTCAGAGAGAAAGGTGGGACCAGGTAGGAATTCTCACCAATGGAAAGCTACCCGCGTTTCCATTCTTGTGGGGAACAGTGCAAAACTATGGCCAAAGCATTTTCTCTGGGCTGGAAGATGAGACAATTCACTTTCATTTCAGCTAAGCCCATTGGCATTGGCTTTGCAGGTTGAAAGGCCTTAAATCTCACCAAACTCAGTGAAATTTAATTCAGAGTAAAATTACTAAGGATTCTTCTAAAAGGCTGAAATTTATAACATAATTATCTTAATTATCTGTATCTCCATTCAGCAGATTTTATCAGAGGGTTTTAGAAAAAAAAACAATCCCAAACAATCTAAGAGAAGGAAAAAAAGGGAAAATATCTATTTTGTATATTATAGTTACCAATGCTTTATTATAATACATTACTATAAAATGATCAGTACTGTACAAAGTGCTATCGTAAAAGATTACAACTTTGTTTCATACTGACACATGCTACTGCATCCTTTGATAAATGGAAAGTATTGGCATTTCCAAACAGGTAGACCACATATTTCCAAAAACCATTCCTTATCATCTGAAATAATATCCCTGTTCCAATTTTTCAATATGACTGTTTTTAGCACACCCACCCACTCAATGCAACATAATCTCTGATAAAGACAGATTCCAAACATTACATCACTTTTATCATTTAAATCCCATAAATCCTATTACATATTTTGATACATAATCCCCAAAAGACATTAAATGACCCCGTAATTATATCATATTTTACACTTCTAGCATTGAAAATCTGATGTCCATCTTTCAAATACATTATTTGGGAAATCTAATACACCCTAAATACATCGTTAAGGAATCAACTTTAATGTCAGATCTGTAGAAACCATTTTAACATCTGGAAGCTGATTATCAGATTTCTAACTGCATTGTGTGCCATAGTTATCTCCAGTGAAAGCCACTTAAAGTTCATTCATTGCTGTTCTTCTCCAGTAATTCACAAAGATCAGTGACATCAATTTTCTCTTGGGCATAGTCCAGCATATGCCATATGTAATCATTATTTGGCACTCACTTGAAGTGTTTAGCTTTGTTCTATGACATTTCCACTCAATAATGTGGATATGCACATCCCAACATACAAACATATCCATCACACTCTTCCTTTTTGAAATAAGCAGCGTTACATATGCAGAAGGATAGTATGAAATTTTAAAAAACCACAGAAAATAAGGAGTGAGATACAGTTGGGGCTAGCTATCCCAAATATTCTCAAAGCACTTTAAAGGTCATAATACTCAGGGCTTTTTTTCTCATAAAATGCCCAGAATGGAGTTTCGGCACCTTTTTTGGATGGAACCTTATAGGGTAGGGAAGACGGGTTGTATGACGTGTGTGAGTTCCAGCACCTTTTTTTTTTTTTTTATAGAAAAAAGCACTGGTAATACTGAATTACATTCAGAAGCAAACCGGCAAGCCCTCAAAGAAATGGCCACATATGGCAAAACAAGATGCATTTATAACTACTCAAGTTGCTACATCAAAATTACCTGCTGTTTTAAGGACAGGCCCCTTTGTGCAGCACATTGAAGTAGTCCAAGCAAAAGGGGTATGAGGAGACCCTC